GTGTCTCCAAGGCAAAACGTAGTAGTTGATATTGAAATACACAATGTAGCAAAAAGTACAGTACCTCTAAAATTGGTTTTCTGTTCTGCTAATACTCTGCCATGTCCCAAATCATCTCTTGGTGGTACAACTATAGTACACTCCTACCTGGCCAAAGAGCATCCTCCTTTGTAGTTTTTGTTCTCTTCTCTGGGAGATTAATCTTTTTAAAAGAGAGATTTAATTTGAATTCACTTCAACATCCAGTGGTATTTCATAGAATCCAAGTTAATAATTTGGCTAAGGCTGAGTGAGGGTCTAGCCCGTCAGTCCTTCCAAATATACTCGTTCTCAGTCTCCCCTGTGGCCACATTAGTTTTCATTCACTAATAAAGTATCTATTTGCTTGACATATATTTCTATTTATAGTCATTGAGGATACATCAATGGTCAAGACAAACATGGTTCTTGTACTTACAGAGCTTCAGAAGGAGGAAAACCCAAAAAATATAATGATTGTGAGTTGTAATAAGTATAAAAATGTAATTGAAAACCTGCAAATAAAAGTTTTCTGTAAGAATGCAATATTTTAGGTAATTTCCAAGAGTAAAGAGAAAAAAACAGATCTTTTGAATGGAGAAGAAAGAATTCAGGTAGAGAGAAGAACCCATGCAAAGTTTCATAATTGCTGGAAAGAATGTAACCAGTGCACATAGATCAATTTACCACACAATGTTAAGTCACAGAGGAGTGAGTGGCTAGTGCCAAGCAAGACTAGTAAGCCAAGACAGATGAAAAATTTCTTTCTTTCCCTTACTGTAGAAAATTTGTTGTTTTCAAAATTTGAAAGAATGTGACTATATAATTTCCTCCTAGATTCGTTTCTCTCTTTTTTCTTTTTTTCTAATAGTGGGGACTGAATCCACTGTGTGTGGAGCTACATCTCCATATCTTTTTAACTTCTGACACAGAATCTTGCTAAGTTGCTCAGGCTGGCCTTGAATTTGACATTTTTCTTCCTCAGTCTCTAATTATGCAGCTGGGATTAGAGATGTGTGTTACTACATGTAGCTTCCATTTTTTTTTGGTCATATCTTTTGACAGTAAGTTGTAAACACTTTGCTGTTAAACAGATCAAGTACGTTCTAAAAATAATTGTTCTACACAATCTCAAATTTGTTGTTATATGCAAACAATTTAAAATGGACTCAGTACCATCTAATGTAGTCCCTATTTAAATTTCCCCAGTAACCATGAGATGCCTTTTGCAGTTTTTTTAAAAAAACTCATGAATCAATTAAGATTCATAAATTTCAACAGGGTATGGTGGCACACGCATGTAATCCCCACTTGAGCAGCTGAGGCAGGAATATCACTGTGAGAACAGTCTGGACTACATAGTGAGTTCACAGCAGGCCTGAACTACATAGAAAGACCCTGTCTCTACAAACAAACAAACAAAAAAACCCCCAAAATTTGTGATTTTTGTTTATTTCATTTAGGATTTTTGTTTAACAATACGGGGGATTGAACACCGGGACTTTGCAATGAGCTACATTCCCAGACCTTTATGCTTTTGGGACATGGTCTGATTAAACTGCTAATGTGCCCAGGCTGGGCTCAAATTTGTGATTTTTCTGCTTCAACCTCCCATAGTGCTGGAATTAGGGGCATGTGTTGTTATGCCTGGCAAAAAGGGCATATATGCATTGTCTTGTATACTTTTCTTCATGTTTGGTTCCTACCAAACGTTTCTGGTGTAACCATCCTCAGTTAAGATACGTCTAATAACTATTTTCATCATAAAATTACCTTTCCTTTGACAGTTAAATAATCTGTTGTGTGCTTCTCTGACATACTGTTAATGTCTTGCTTTCCAATTATCTTTCAGTCAACATATATTCCATCTTTTATGTACTGAGTAGAAAAAACGAACTGTTTCTTTTGCCATTTGCTCACACCACAGATCTCTTTTGTGAGATTGTGTGTGGGTTTCTTCCCACCAACAGGCAGGCAAACAATTCTGCAGTGGACACCAGATGGGTATCCTCTAATTCAGTTTTTACCCTGTCTATCTGGCAAGGGCATCAGATCACACAAGTTGAGGACAGTCCCATAAGACTGCCTCCACTTCAGATCCAGTTGCAAATCTAGGTTTCCAGAAAGTTTGTTTGACCAGCTACAATTAGTTTCTAGGATGTTCTCTGTGTCTTTGATTAATTTGGCTAGAATGGCTCACAGAACTCTGGGAAACAGAATACTTAAAGTTATTAGTATATTTTTAAAATTTATTATATATATACTTTTAGTTTATATTATTTTAGAGATATTTTAAGGGATACAAATAAGCAGCCAGATGAAGGAGACATAGGGAAGGGCAGGGAGTGCCCCAAGCTCAGGGAGCTTCTGTCTCCATGGGGTTGGGATATACCAACCTCCTGGCATGTGGTGAGTTCTTGTTCACCTTCCTACAAGCTTCCTAGTGTTCTGCTATTTAAAAGCTCTCTGAACCCTGTACTTTCAGGTTTTTATGCAGACTTTATTGCTAAGAATGACTGTAGTATGGACAACCATGAAGAAATGTGATTGCACAAAAAGAGCATGAGCTAATGATGGATGAACTGATCAAGCTCTCGCTCAGCAAGGTCTGTCAAGATGCTTCCTGGCCTCTCTGTGGAACATCCCGTCCTCCTGAGTATTCCTCCTTTTGAAATAGGGGTCTTAGGACTTACTATTGGAGAAGGTAGATCAGAGAATTTCCTCATAGCCAACAACAGTGGGAGCTTAGTTTCTATGAGTTACCTTGGGGAAAAGAAATTCTAGTTTCTATGGCTTGCCTTGGAGAGGGACTTTTAAGCCAGGAACCATAGATTAGAAATCCAAATATAATATAGCACATGCATACCTATGATAAATTTTAATTTATAAATTAGACACAGTAAGACATTAACAATAACAATGAAATAGAATTTTAATATAAGTTAATGTGAATGTGATCACTCTCAAAATATATTGTACTCTGCTTATTTCTTATAATAATTTGAGCTAAAATGCTGACATGATGAAATGAAGCAAGGTGAATGACACAGGCATTGTAATGTAGCATTAGGTTATTACTGGCATTCCGACAATGCTTATTTTGAGCACAATTTACCATGGAAAATTGAAACTGGGGGTAAAGTGGAGGAATTGCTTAATAGCACAAGCAAGATTTATTTTTAAAGTCATTGGAAGTCATTTAAGTAAGCAAGGACTTGATCATTTTTATATTAGATTGGTTTGGTAGCTCTAAGATGAATAGTGTGGAGAGGTACAGGACCTGAAATAGGAAGACCATGGTGGTTGTGATCTGAACAATGAAGTGAGAAAGGAGTATTTAGTATTTAGTTCATTTAAAATCTGAAAATTACAGTCATTGACTCCCCACTCCCCATTATGTGAAACTAGAAGGGAGGATAGGACAAGAGGGATTCTGGGATTGAACAAGTGAACATGTTATGTGCATATACAAATCTGCCAACATTAAACCCATTAAGCTGTATAACCAACAACAAAAGTGAAAAAAAAATAAAGTGGAAAAAATCCCCAAAGTACAAAATAAAATTATTTATGAATGGATGAGAATAGTGAGGTAAAGGAAGATTCATCATGATTCTTTGTCTTGAAAAACTGAATGGTGCCATTTATTGAGAAAAGTAGGGCTTGGGTTTTGTAGTGGAAAAATCTAGAATTTCACACTTGAACATTTTAAGTTAGAGATATTTGTCATATATTTAGTTGGAGATATAAGTGGGTACTAGGATATTTTCATCTAGTTGGTGCTGCGAGGGCAGGTGGGAAAAGGGAATTTAGGTATCAGATTTTATAGATGCTATTTAAACTCCGAAGAGTTGACAACATTGTCAAAAAGAAAAACAAAGGGAGAAAGAATAAAAGATTGGTGTCGGGTGGGAAACACTGAAGATTCTGACAGTTTAAAGTTTGAATAGAAGAGGCAGAAAAGGAGATTACGATGAGTGGCTAATAAGGATATGAGTACAAAAGGAATAGGAACCTAGCAGACCGATGAAGTGTGTTTCAAGGTAGAAACATTTGTGTGGATGAAGCACTCATTGTGGAATGCTGGTGGGAGCTGGAATGACAGCAAATCCCTTTGATTTTTGGTTCCTCCCTTCTCCCATGACTGGTATGGTGTTCTGTCTGCTTGGAGCGTTCACTTTTCTTTCTTCCTTGGCTAACTCCTAAAGATTCTGTAAGATCCAGATCAAACATTTGCCCAGGTTCCTCCGGGGTAAAACCTTAAGGCTATAAGAACAATTTCCTTCAAATTGCTCAGTACAGTTATAATTTCTCAATTATTTGATTTTCTAAATTGATTATTTTTCCATTACAAGGTAAGCCCCTTGAGAGTTGGTATCTTTATGCTCACCCTTTTCTGTATCTAAGCCTGAGCACATCAAAACATTCACTCAAGAGCTGGGACTCAGTGATAACTAGCAAAAGCAAAAAGATACTTTGAGTTGTAAAAGAAAGTACAAACCCAGGATAGATTTGCTTACAAGAGCAATTGAAACTTTGACATAGAACTCACTAAAGAATTTTGTGCCAAGTCTAGGCTGGAAAAAAAATGTTCTGTTTTATCTTTTCTTTCTTCCCTTTTACCTCTACATTTCTTTGCCCATTTTTCCTCGCGGCCCCGAATCCTCTTTTCCACTCCAAATTGGTTTGCCTCAAATTTGATTATTTTGTGGGGAAAAACAAATCATGTAGGAGACTGTGGCAAGTTAATTAGGAGATACAAATACAGCATGACAAAGGTAGGAAGACAGGAAGCTCGTCCAACTAGATGTTTCAAAAATGCTAACCAAATAAAATAATTGAAAATAAGACCATATGTAAGAGGGTGGGTCCTGACACCCTTTGGCTGAATTTAAATCCCAGCTCCATATGCCTTAAGCCTACTATTTAATACTGTGAACTCAGTTTCCTGAGAATTTATAAAATGGGATAATAACACCTACCTCAAAGGGTTGTTCCCAGGATCAGTGAGATAATCCAGTGTACAAGTTTACTATGAGTGGCATAAGATAAACGCTCAATTAATGTTAACACTTATTTTTCTTGAAAATAAAGTGCAGCGAGGAGAGACATCCTAGGTAGCAAACTGTTACATGATTGTAACAGTAAGAAGGGCTACACCCAAAGAAGCAGAAACGATGCACTGGCACTTACATTTTGGGCACAGCAAAGACTTTGCCTACAAGACTGTCAACACTACAAGCCTTGCAGTAATAGCTGCTTTATACCTTCGGAAGGGGAAGGGGATAAAAATGGTCATAAAAAATCTATCCTGGGAAAATTTTGTTTCGCTGAGGGCCACTTTCGACGACAGGTAGCTTCAAGCGGAGAAAAAAGCAACCCCAGATCCCGTGATGAGCAGTCTCTTTCCGGCCCTGCTGGAACCGGACCCAGAGGTGACTAGCCCGCCATTGCTCTGCCAGTTTCTGCCAATGTCCAGGACTAAGTGTGACGGCAGTGGTCTCACCTAGGCGATTTAGCTGTATCTTGTCACAAAAATGCAATCCAAGTTTCGCATCCCAGCCACAGGGTGACACATACGCAGCCGCGGGGAGCCCTCAGAGAAACTAGACCTCCCCGGCCTCCCGACCGCCCAGGAGCCAGTCTCTGCTCATTGGTTGCTTGGCGTTCCAATGCCCGCCCCCAGATTGGAGAGCTTCTTCCGGAGTCGGTGGAAATCCTGCAGTGCAAACTAGCTCGGCTCCAGTGTCGTCTGGAGCCCCGCCTACTCCCAGCATGCACTGCGGCGCTCTAGCCGCCATTGTTTGAATTTGAAAAGTAAAACACCGCTGTCCCGTTTGCTGGTTTGCCGGCCGGTGATTGTAGGTGAAGAGTTGACTGGTGAGGGAGAGGAGGAGGAAGAGGTGAGTGACTGGGTTTATAACAAGCCTAAGGCAGAGACACAGTCGTGGAAATGTTCACATTTTCTGTCAGGATTGTTGAGGCCCCTGCCAGGAATGGGGAGGCCGTGGGGCGCGGCGAGGATTGAGTCATAATTTGGGTTATGGTTTAAATCTCGTTTCGACCGCCTACCAACTGATTGAGGAAATTTATTACTCTCCTTGGTCCTTAGTTTCTAAAGGAGGTAATGATAGTACCTTGGAAAGATTGATAACGTGTAAATTACTAACAGTAGTGTAGGAAGTTGTGAAAACATTGCTTGCACATGGGAAGACAATGCGTGTTTGGAGCCTTTAATTTAATCTTTTATTACTGTGATTGCTTGTGTTGTAGGCCTACATGCCACACCTACATCCCTGAATCCCTGAGGTGAGCAGTTTGTCCAGCAGATGAAATGACCTTTCTGGGGAAGCCCAGTATTTACTACAGGCGGGCTCAGAATGACTAAAAATAGGTTTTTATTCAAGCTATCTTGAAATCCAGGGAGTGCATGCCAATTTGAGTTGGGATTATGAATTAAGGCTGCTAGTTTATGAATTAAGTGTTTTGTTCTGAAGTTCTCTGTACTTTGTAGAAGTAAACTTTGGATGCCATTTAAAGTCCAGGAATCCTAGTTAGGCAGTCGCTGTTCTGAATGTTAATAAATTTATCTAAGAACAGAACTGAGATTTTTCTCTCTCCCTAGTATTGTTCAGCTAGTAGATTCTCAGTATTTGAATATTATTTTTTTCATGGGAAGTTACTCTTAAGTTTAATTGGGTGATTTGATGTTTGATTCAGTTGTAATAATTTACTGATTCAACTTAAGACCTGTCATGTGTCGGGTTCTGTTTTACATATGTACCTATTTTTGTAGTACTGGATATTGAACCCTGGCATGTGTCATTCACACAAGGCAAGCCACTGAGCTACACTTTCAGCTCAAGTACTGTCGTTAAATGTATTCAAATGTATTATTTCACTTTTAACTTCCACTTGGAACAATTAAATGTAAAATAGTTTTCCAGATAATTGAGTTTAATTTCTAGGTATTAAAATAGTATTTTTCACAAAACAGTAACTAAAATAACACAAAGGTCATTAGTCACTCTGTGGTCTCTTTACTATATGATTTCTGAAAGTATTTCAAAGAGTGAACATTGTCATGCTTAATAGATTACTTTAGTTGGGCAGTCTTTTTGGTGAATCTGCTAATAGTTTGGCTCATATATAGTAACGGGTGTGTTCAATTTATTTGATTCAGGTTCTGTAAATATAATTTGATTTTTTGTCTTTGATAAGTCATTGTGTTATAAATGAAAAATTGGAAATATTTTCCTTTTAAAGTCTAGTTATTTGGAAGAAAGTAGTGGACCACTAGACTGTAGGCTTTAAATTGTGGGTGACTTAGCTGCTGACTTAACAATGTTGTCTGAAAATGTTTGTTTTTGTTGCAGAATGGACTCTAATTTGAATCAAGATGGGGTGCCTAGACCATCCTATGTTTTTAGTGCTGACCCAGTTGAAAGGCCTTCAGAAATAAACTTTGATGGCATCAAGCTTGATCTTTCTCATGAGTTTTCTTTAGTTGCTTCAAACACTGAGGTAAATAAAATGCAAGAAAAATACTTTGTTATCATGATTAGGAGGAAATGTGTGCATGTGACTACAGTTGAGATCCCCAAACTTCTGGGTTTAAGGGAACATAGTATCTCAGTAACTTTTTCATGGACTCCTTAAGACAAAAGAAAGAAACCAAAGTTTTCAAGTAGTAGCTGTTTTCTTTTTTTCTGTTTTTTAGTACCACTTGTTAAGTAGTAAGTCTGACCAACTTCATAAGTGTGTGTGCTCCTATTCTGGTAGCTATTTAAAAAAAATTAAACAAAAAAATTTTTAAAGTTTCTTTCTTTGATAACTATACTTAGTAACTAGTAAAGTATTTGTGTGGCCTGCTTTATTGTGGTATTTGCTTTATTGTGATCTGGAACCAAATCTGAAATGCTTTTGAGGTGTACTAGGCACATTAGCAGATCTCCCTGCCAATAGGAAACTTTTAATTTCTGTAGTAATAAAAGTCTCAGAGTCAGGTATTATTAAGCCTCCAATTTTTTTCTAAGAGTTTAGTTCTGTGCAGCTTACATTTATAAGTGAGTTTTAAAATGAATTTTGTCAGTTTCTTCAAAAAAGCTCGAGACTGCATTGAATTTGTAAGTCAGTTTTAAGAGAATCTCTCTTAACAATATTGAATTTACCAAACAACTAACAAGATATATCTCCATTTATTTTGGACTCGTATTAATTTATCTGCAATGTTTTGTGTACAGGTCTTGCATCACATCTCTTTTAAGATTTATCCTTCAGTATTTAAGAATTTTAGACTAAAAATATGTTTCTTTTAAAAATCAGTTTCTTAGCGTTTCCAGTATTGAAAACTGGATCAATTTGGCCTGTACCTTTTTTAATGCTATGTTATTAAACTCATATAGTCAATTCATTATTTAATTCATTTAGAGTACCTTTTTATTATATGTTGTAGGTACATGCTCATGTGTGTGAAAAAGAAATTTCATTTCTTATTTCCTAATTTGGATGTTTTCTTTTTCTTACTGGATTTTTCTTTTTGGTAATTAAACTGGCTAATCAACTATTCAGTGTTGAGCAAAAATGAGAAGCAGAAATCTCTAGTTTTGCACCTTGCTGTTCACAGTTATGTATGATATTTACAATAGGTTTTTTTTTTTTTTTTTTTTTTTTTTTTTTTGTAAATGCCCTTTATCATGTGAAGGAAGTTTCCATTTCACCTTGTTAAGAATTCTTATGGTAAAGATGTTGAATTTTGTCAACTGCTTGTGTTTCTATGAAGTTTCTTATCAATTATTTTTTAAGCAGGCAAGTTATCCTAATTGATTTTTGAATCCTAAATTGAGCTACTGTACTGCTGGGATAAATCATTTTTGGTTGTGATATGTTACCCAGTTGTATAGATTGGCTAGTATTTTGTTAGGGAAATTTTGCATTGATTTAATGTGACATATAGTTGTGTATTTTTTTTCTAACATGATCCTTGTCAGATTGTGGTATCAAGGTATGTCAAAGTCAAAATTCATTGAGATATTTTCTTACATTTTATGTGTGATTTTTGTGATTATTACCTTAAACATTGGTGCGAATTTGTTAGTGAGCTACCAAAGCTGAACTTTTCTTTGTGGGATTGTTTTGTTTGGTAATGCATTATATTGCTTCAACAGATACAGGGTTGCTCATATCTTTTAGTTTTTGTATCCGTTTTGTAATAATTATTTTTCAAATCCTTTGTAATCCTTTTTAAAAACTTAAAACATTTGGTGAGGCTTTCTTTATACAAAGTATTTAAAAATGGAATAATGTCTGCTTAGAAATTCTGTTTGTAATCAGTCACCCATGTTAATGATGATTTTCCGTATTTTAAAAATGCAGTTTTGTTCTTCCATATAGGGTTTGGAATCTAAAGATTATCTCCAGGTTTGTCTTCGAATAAGACCTTTTACACAGGCAGAAAAAGAACATGAGTCTGAGGTTTGTGTTGAATTTAATTGGATTTTAATGTTTACATTTCATTAAACAGGCAAAATACCATTATTTTTATTTACTGTGGCAATATATTACAGGGCTGTGTACATGTCGTAGATTCACAGACTGTTTTGCTGAAAGATCCTCAAGGCACCCTTGGCCAGTTAAGTGAGAAAAGCTCTGGGCAGATGGCACAGAAATTCACTTTTTCCAAAGTAAGTACCCTGTGAAGTGGAACTTTGCATGGGATACAGAATAGAGGGTGACATGGGGTTGAACCCAATGCATTATGTATAAATAGCATGTGTTCTACTACTGAGTTATAACCCTACCTTGCTGCACCCCTCCCCTCCTTTTTATAATGAACTATTTATTTTGTGCTTATAGAAGTTAGGCATGTGGCATTTGTATTACGACCTAACAATAGGACTCAAATTTCAATCTGTATATTTATAACTGGGATTGAGAAGAATCATTATAATATTCTTAATTTTTAAAAAATGTACAGAAATGTTCTAAAACAAAGATGAGAACATAACTGGCTGTGTGAGTCAGATTTCTTATTTTGAAAACTTGCTGTTATAAGTTAAACTGTCAAGTATATTTTTGGTAATGGGGATATAGAGCCTATTATAAGAAAAATCTTATAAAACTAATCTTTTAAACTTTTTAAACATGAGATATAGGGTGGAACTCATTACAGATATTTGCTTAGATTTTCTAAAAAGATGTCTTAAAAATGCTTTCTTAGGTTTTTGGTCCAGAAACGTCACAGAAAGAATTCTTTCAGGGTTGCATTGTGCAACCAGTAAAAGACCTCTTGAAAGGACAAAGTCGGCTGATTTTTACTTATGGGCTAACCAATTCAGGAAAAACATATACATTTCAAGGTAAATATTATTTGTCTAGAAAGGAAAAAGAAACGATAATAGTCTATCAATATTTTTATAATTATAGTAGTGCTGTTGGGTTTTATTTAATTCACTTGTAAAACCATCCGTCTGATGGAGGTTAAGTTGATTACAATTCAGACAAGGATTGCTGTGCTGTAGAGAATTAAGCATGGATCACTAGTGAGACTTTATTTTATTTTACTTTATTTTTGTGATTACAGGTGGTTGTAAATCTTAATATTATGGCTTGATCTGAATGTTAAACTTCAAATTGGCATTTGAATAGTGGTCAGTAGAATGTTGGTACGACAGTGAGGATAAAAGAGATCGAAAATTGAATAATTTCTCAATTTCTGTATTCTAATTGCTAGTATAAAAGAAAGTTTTATTAGCTCAGTAATGTTCCTGCTTTCCTATTGGTCTGCTAGTGTATAACACAAAATTTCTTTCCCAGGTACAGAAGAAAATATTGGCATTCTGCCTCGAACTTTGAATGTATTATTTGATAGCCTTCAAGAAAGACTATATACAAAGATGAACCTTAAGCCACATAGATCTAGAGAATTCTTACGGTTATCACCAGAACAAGAGAAAGAAGAAGGTGTTAGCAAAACTACATTACTTCGACAAGTTAAAGAGGTATGCAAGTATGTTATGTAATTCTTTTTTTTTTTTTTTTTTTTTTTTGATAACTGAGAATCAAACTCAGGACCTTCGCCGGGCAGGTTCTGTGCCGCTGAGCTATATTCCTGACCCTGCAAATATTTTAATATGTAAAATACATGTCTTGACTTTTTATAAACTCTTTAGGTTGTTTCAACATACAGTGTCATTTGCTTTGTGGTGCTGGTGGGTTTTTATTTTTGAAAAAAATACCTAAAGCTTTTCTGAAAGTATTTCATGCTGAAAAATAAGAATGCTTAAGTGTTACAAAGATAAATAGTTGAGAAGTCACTTTTGGTTACTTTAAAACCAGCATTGTACTTTTTGTATAAAAGTTCTGTTAACTATAAAAGTGGTGTATATACACACAATTTAAATAAGAGGATGCCAGAAAAAGTAAAGGTTTTTTTGTCTTTTTTCCTTTTTATCGGTACCGGGGATCGAACTCACAACTGCCTGCTTGCAAGGCAGGTGCTTATGCCGCTGAGCTAAATCCCCAGCCCCAAGGTTTTTTATTGCATTTCTAAATAGAAAACCACTAGTATTGAACTGCAAGGTATGCATACATACACAGTCATATATATGGTTGCATGTGTTTTCATATCACCCCCCTTACTCCCTTGTTGGGGCTCTAACTCAAGGTTTTGTGCCTGCTAGGCAAGTATTGTACCACTGAGTGCTACTTCCAGCACTTTTAAAAAAAAAAATTATTATATGTGAGCTATAGCTTTTTAAGAAACATGAATGAGAGCTTACTATATTTATGATTTGCTCTCATTTAGCATATTTTAAGCCATCTCTCTACCTTAAATTATGTGTCCCTTCCATACTCATAAGTGAAATAAATTAAACTCACATGTATAAATACCGAATAGTCTTCCTAGTGTAAGAAATGATACAAATGCATAAAAGTGTGTGTTAATCATCATGATTCCCCATTATATGGTTTTGAAGCCTTATAAAGTTTTCACTCACTAATTGAAATGGTTTTATTCTGGGCTATTAGATATTACTGTCTGTGATGATATGAATAGTTATTTTGAAGAAAACAAGACACCATAATAGGTAGTGCTGATTTAGTATCATCTTGTTTTGAAGTCCCATCAAATTGTTCTTCTGTCTCCATTGCTTTTATCATGTTGTATCTTATTGGATTTTATTATATATGATAGTATAAACAATTTTTTTTTATATAGGCAAAGAGATAATATAGAAACCATTGTTCATTTTCTACTAGCTGGTTCTAAATACCTTGTAATACTTTCATCCTCTTGAATGGTTTCACACTGTCTTGATATGTTTGATGCTATAGTATATAAAGTTATACTCAAATATTTCAAGGAAAGAGACACCATGGTACCTACTATTAAGTCGGGTTATCGTGTGGTGAAACACTCTGTTGCTTAAATTGTTCTCTTCTGACCTGTATTGTTGTGCTGTTGTGTCCTCTTTTATCTCAATCTACCCCCTTTTTTAAAAAAATTTTTATTATTTTTTAATTAAGGGAAAATTTTTTAAAAAATTAGAATATATTATAGTAACTTTTTTGATTTCCTATTAACTTGATTTGAAGCCCCGTATTGCTCTCACCATCTTGTTTTGAGTGATTTTACTCTATTCTGTTCTGTTTGATAGTATCAATTTTGAGGGTATAGGCAACTACTTTGAAGGCAATAAGATTCACTATGATGCCCACCCTGGTTTGACTATTACCTTCTTTTGAAGTTCAGTAATGTCTCCAATGTTTAGGTTTTATTGGTTTTGTTTTGTACTGTTATGTTCAATTTTATTATATCTGATGACATAGGCAATTCTTTTTAAGGTTGCAAGGGGCATATTGGTAACCATTGTTGGTTACCTATTATTCTGTTTGTATATCATGTACTATGTCCATCCTTTGTTTTGACCGACTCTGCTTTGTTTTGTCACATTTGGTTTTTTTTTTTTTTTTTTTGTCTTTTTATCGGTACCAGGGATTGAACTCACGACTGCCTGCTTGGAAGACAGGCGCTTATGCCGCTGAGCTAAATCCCCAGCCCCGTCACATTTGGTTTTAATCTCTTCCAAAAAAAGTAATAAGAACTGTGGGAGTAATAAAACCCAAAATGCTTAAATGTTATTGTAAAAAAGAGAGGGAAAGAAAGTGCTCTGACGGACAAAACTGCAAGTGTGTTTAGGTGTGTAAGATAGATGACTGTATTACTAAGTTTTGTTGGATCATTGAACACAGCTGTTTGCAGTCACACTGTTTGAATGTCCACTTCGTATGCTTAATTTTGTAATTTGATCAGCTATTTCTAAGATGACAATATGTAATTTATTAACTAGAGATTTCTTACTGTTTTTTTTTTGAAATTCTGTATTACTTGTACCCTTCTACTGTTTTGTTTTTTTCTCTTTAAATAAAAAAAATTATGTCTCTTACCTGTTAGTTTATGTGTTTATTTTTAAATCAAAATTTTAACCATTTACCCTTGTTAAATATTTGTATTGCTTCCATCATTAACTATTTTAGACAGCATTTTAGTAAGGAAACTTTCTGTTGTAAATGCATTATATGCTCATTTCCCAAACTAGGCCAAAAATGGATATTTAATAGTTTCCATAGGCAGGTGAAAAATGTTCTCACTTGGCCTTAATTTGTATTTCTTTGTATTTAGTTTATCTTTGAATTTTTCCTTAATTTGTATTTCTTTGTATTTAGTTTATCTTTGAATTTTTCCTGTGGATTGTCATATATTCTTGGCCCATTGTTGTATTTGATTTCTCACTGAGGTATAAGACCTTTTTTTGGCAGGGGGGTTATAGCTTAGTAGTAGAGTGTTTGCATAGCGTGCACAAGGCCTGGTTGTGATTTGATTAGTGACTTTTTTTTTTTTCTTTTTTTCTTTTTCGTTTTTATCGGTACCAGGGATCGAACTCACGACTGCCTGCTTGCAAGGCAGGTGCTTATGCCGCTGAGCTAAATCCCCAGCCCCTGATTAGTGACTTTTATTTGAATAAATAATTATATGTCTTTAAATAAATTTAAATTATGTCTTAACTTTTTAATCTTATCTAAAAGTGTTTTTAAACTTTTTAAAAAAATCTTTTCTAGGTGGCTGTGCGTAATGACAGTTGTGATACTTTTCAAGGTAAGAGTTCCTTTCTTTGTTTATATGAAATACATTTATAAATTTTTACTTTTTAAATTACTCAAAGTTGGGAGGTGGGGATTTAGATCAGCGGCATAAGTGCCTGCCTTGTAAGCAGGCAGTCGTGAGTTCGATCCCTGGTACCGATAAAAAGGAAAAAGACACAAAAAAATCTCCAAGTGATTTAATTTCTTTAATGACATAGTAATACTTGGAAAACAATCTGTAACTCTAATTGTAACTGAAGTTTTATTTCAAGAGATGCTCTTATTTTTCCTTGTTCTTTGCATTTAATTTCTGTTCAGTTTGTTATTTCCAAAAGAAAGGAAGGACAAAAAGAAGCCACATGTTGGTTATTTCAAATATTATTTGCCGCTTATTTTGTTTTAGAAAATGTTTAACTTAGACTCAAAAGATTATGGATATTTGGTTTTTCAAGTCCAGAAATCATGATCTGTATTAATTTTGTTTTTGTGCTTTTTTTCTTTCTTCCCTTCTGTTACTATTTTTTGTAGGAGGTTCAACAAACTCTTTGAATATCTCAGAATTTGAAGAATACATGAAAGATTACGAACAAGCTAGTTTGACTATGGACAATAGTATAAAGTTTTCTGTGTGGGTGTCTTTCTTTGAGATTTACAATGAATGTATTTATGACTTGTTTGTCCCTGTATCATCTAAATTCCAAAAGAGGAAGAACCTGCGCCTTTCCCAAGATATAAAGGGTTATTCTTTTATAAAAGGTATGCTAATGAATATTTTTTCTTATTTTAGCAAAGTTCCCTTCCAGGCTTTGTGACTGCTATTAGAAAGCAAACAGGAAATTAATATACTTTACATTCATTATTAACATCAAGAAAATAAGAGAAACTTGTACTTTGGAAGTATATTTTGGTATGTTACACTTGAATATTAAAAAATCCAGTTTGGTATTATATTCAATTGAGTGCCATTAATTGAATTCATGGTGGATGAGAAAATAAGTGTGTTGAAATTTACATTCTACTATGAAACTATCAAAGTTTTGGAGCTATGAAATATTGTTCTTCCATTGTGATACTTTTCTAATCTTTTAAAACTATTACTTACAGGAAGTACATATTAATAATGTCATGGCCTTATGTGTATATGTATATTTATAAGTGTGTGAATATTCACAATAAATATCTCCTTAATTATTGTTCCTTGGCTTTTTTTGGCTAAGATGAAGCATAGTGTCTGTTCTTACCAACTTAACATTTGATATGGCCACTATCTGATAACAATTGATTAAAAGGATTTTTGGTGCTAGAAGATAGAATAGAAGCTTGCTCTATCCACTGAAAACATTGACCTGGCATTGTAGTACCTCCAGGAACAATGCACTGAAAAAAATCTCTTCAATTATCTTACTATAAGTAGTACACTGTGATTTTTTTTTTATTCTACTTGATTTTTACAAACTTGATTATTATCAAAATTTTGTATGATTCTTTGATGCATTCCAATTTGCACTGTGTCGTACACAGCAAGGTAATTAATTTTCTCTCTGGCAAACTTTCTTAAAGAACATTTACTTTATGCATTTGTATAATTTAAGCACTAATATATGAAGTAGCTGAGTTGACTCTAACTTATGTGTTGTTAAAAAAAGATTTCTTTCTGTGTTACTAGGAAAATGTGTTAAATGATGTAGAGAAAAATTTTTTTTAAATAAATTGATATGTGTCCACTTTATCTTTTAAGATTTACAATGGATTCAAGTATCTGACTTCAAAGAAGCATATAGACTTTTAAAATTAGGAATAAAACATCAGAGTGTTGCCTTCACAAAACTGAACAATGCTTCCAGTAGAAGGTAAAAAGTAAATCCTTTGAAATAATCTTAAAACACCCATAGTACTTTGTTATATGCAGTTTATTTTACAATAAAGGAGGCAGTAGGTTCTGTTACATGACTTCATAGACATAAAGACCTTTTCTGTAAACTAAAGAGCACTATCCTATTATTAAGCTCACGAATTTTTAGGATTCTAAGTTTCTTTACTCTTTATGTCAGTATCCTAGCTTGTTTTTGCAGTTGCCTAGAATGGTGGTCTTTTCTACTTCACAGATATTCTTTATATACTGCGTTAGGCTATAATCTCAAGAGATTAACAGAAGTTGTTTTTGATGAATGGAATTGATAAACAGAAGACAGAGGAATAAATTTCAGCAATTAAACTCCAAAAACAGACTTCTCTTAAGAGTGAAAAGAACCCTGTCCCCCCTATTAAGTTGGGCATATGTGACTTATAATCCAAATAAGGCTATATATGTGTGTGTGTATGTGTATGTATATATATATCAAATGTATGCTTTGTTTTAGGTGTATATTCAAAGACTATTGACTCCACATAATATAATTTTAATTCTTAATATGGTATTTGCAAGAAGAATGATAATTATATATTATTTCATTAATAGATGTTGGAATGTCAAAAAGAGAAGATGTGAGGGAGTGGGGCTAGACAAATATTAGATGGTCTGGTATTGACAGTGATACACTGGATTGACACATCTGGCAGCTAGTTTGAAAATTCACTGACAGGCTATACCTAAAACTAGATTGTAAGTAGAGGTACAGTTAGATGTTAGGTATCTCCTATTTAAAATGCAGAAATTAAAAATGAAAAAAACAACCTGGATCTTTTTTTTTTTTTTAGTCACAGCATATTCACAATTAAAATATTACAAATTGAAGATTCTGAAATATCTCGTGTACTTCGAGTCAGTGAGTAAGTTGAGTGTTCTTTCAATTGTAATTATTTTGTATTGCTCCGAAAAATTTTTAAATAATTACTTTGTTGTGGTTTGGTTGATTCAGATTGTCTTTATGTGATCTTGCTGGCTCAGAACGAAGCACAAAGACACAGAATGAAGGTGAAAGGTTAAGAGAGAGCGGGAACATCAACACTTCTTTATTGACTTTGGGAAAGTGTATTAATGTTTTGAAGAACAGTGAAAAGTCAAAGTAAGTGTTATTAGCATATGAAGTATTTAAGCTTCCAATTTTGCTGTTTTTAGCAAGTACTTTTGTCTGTAAGGACAATATGGATTATGATTAAGATACTTAGAAAATTCCAAAAATTTTTTCAATATCAGTGACTCATTAATTAAACTCAGTGTTTTTCTGTGGCAGTATATATTTGATGGACACTTGAGACAGTAAGGTTTTCATGATGCTGGTTTAGCATCTAAAGCCACATTTTTCTTATGAAATTACTGTGTGTTCTATATCGAAAAAAATTTTGAGCATTAGTTTTTTAAACTGAGTTATTACTAGACCAGCCTTTACCATTTCTAGTTAAATTGTGTTTTTATGTTCTATATGAGGGAAGTTATAATTATTCGATACTAGGGAACACAGCCAAGTTAAATATAATCTTTACATTTTTGCATAGTGGATTATCTTTAATTTTATTATCAGCAGTGGTATTTAAAGAAAATAAACAGAACTTTTATACATGGGATTAATAACCAATCTAAAGTTTAGGTTTATGATAGCTGGGTGAATTATTTCTTTGTAAAATTATGCAGCATCTTTACTTCATACAGTTTTTTTTTTAGCTAACTTTAAGTTTTTGAAAAATTTTTCTATAGGTTTCAACAGCATGTGCCATTCCGGGAAAGTAAGCTGACTCACTATTTTCAAAGTTTTTTTAATGGCAAAGGGAAAATATGTATGATTGTCAACATCAGCCAGTGTTGTTTTGCCTATGATGAAACACTCAATGTATTAAAGTTCTCAGCCATTGCACAGAAGGTATAAATCCAAATTTAGACTAAAAGTTTTTAATTGCCTCTTCTTAGAATAATAGTATTCCTTGAACTGCTTTGTACTTGTTATTGTAAACTTGGAAAATAATTGAAAAATCAAATACTTGACTAAGTATAAAGTCATGATAAAATATTGAGAGTTGCTCTGAAAGAAGGAAAATGACCTTTAGTAGTAAGTGTTAATCAAAAACATGTTATAAAGTAAATTTCCTGGGGATGAATTATCTGCTCGTCTGTTTATCTCACTCATTTAGTCGTAGCTAATTAGCAAGCCTTTGCCTGGACTAATACTAAGAACTTTACCTAGGAATGTACATTTACTATCCTTTCATGTATAAGTAGTTTTTTTCTTCTTGCAAGTTTCATTTAAGGATGCTACTTTCTTTGGCTACTTAGTTTTAGTACTTAGGTTGTCATTTAGTCGACTTACAAAATTAAAATTGGTTACAGCAGACAGTTCTTGCTTTTGATGTCTTAAAAATCATGTTGGATATTTTAACAGGTTTGTGTCCCAGATACTTTAAATTCTTCTCAAGAGAAATCTTTTGGACCAATCAAATCACCTCAAGATATTTCAGACAGTAATTTGGATAATAAAATGTTAAATGTCAAAAGAACAACAATTTCGTGGGAAAATAGTCTAGAAGATTTGATAGAAGATGAAGATTTGGTCAAGGACCTAGAAAAAACTGAAGAAAACCAAAATAACAAAAGCATGGAAGCTGAACTTGCTGATGAAGATCTAGATAAAACGTTAGAGGAAGATAAGGCTTTCATTAGATATAGGGGGAACAGAGTATGTATTAAGAACTCATACTTTTATGTTTGGCTTAATTTTCTGTGTTCAGGCTATGAATTCTATTTGAAGGGGGTTTGTTTTGTTCTGAATTTGAGACAGGTTCAGTCTCACAATGTAGTTCATGCTGGCCTGGAACTCACCTTGTAGCCCAGCTGGCTTTGAACTGGAAGCCATATTCCTGTCTCAGCTTCTTGAATGAAGAGATTATAGGCATAAACCACCAGAAGGGCTACGGATTCTTGATACTCCCTTCCTCCCCCCAACCTTTTTTTTTTTTTTTTTTTTTTTGAGATGGGTTCTTGTTATGTGTCTTAGGCTCTCAGCAAATTAGCAAACACCTGGACTCAAGTTCTGTTTCCCTTAAGTCCCCCAGTAGCTGAGACTATTGTAATATCTCAGTCTCTTCCCCTTTTATTTTAAACAGCACACTGAAATATTTTTAATATCAGCATTATTTTTTGAAAGATTTCAAACCTGAGGAAAGATGAGCATAAATGATCACTGATTTATCTTTTATCTGGATTTGTCAGTTGTTAATCTTATATATATGTGAATATGCAGTTTTTCGTTTTATACTGTTTGAGAGCAAGCTTTGTACATGGTAATACTGTGAAACTTTCTGTATATATTTCCTCAACATAGTCGTTTTTCTGTAGTTCATTTTCATATCCAAGAAATTAAACATTAATATAATAAAGTATTTCCAGTAATGCCATTGTACCCTTTATAGCCACTTTATTTTCATCTATGTCTAAAATCAGCATATTACTTTTGAGCATCATAATAGTAATTTTGATTTAGCATTGACTTTTTTAAGTAAAGGATACTTGTTTTATATAGAATATTCCAAGTCTGGATTCATTGATTGCTTCAGGGATGTATATTATATATGTGAAGTTGTGAATGTCTTTTTGCATCACTGCAGAATATGATGTCTGATTTCTCTTGGAAATGCTAAATTTTGCTTACTTGGTTAAGGAGTAATCTACCAGATCTCTTTTCCTTGTAAAAGCATTGTAGAATGAGCCTGCAAATGTCCTGTACCTCAGTACCCAGTGATTTTAGCATTTTCCACCATATTTTCAGTTTACAATATAAAGTATAGTTCTCAAAACATCTACCCAATCCAAGTAATTCTGTTTCTTCAAAAACATATTATTGCTAAGGTAAATAGGTTTAATACTGATTATTTCAGCTTCTATTTAAATATAACTCATATATTTAAGATGTGTTAGTCTTGAGATATAGGTCATGTTCATATTATCTGTTCCCCTCATTAATTTACATAACATATATATATATACCTATACTTGTATCTCTCTCTCTCCCTTTCTCTTATAATGCATAGATCAAACTAGGTCTCACACATGCTAGGAAAATGGCCTACCACTGATCTGCATTCTTAGTGCACAAAAAGTGGACTAGAAACACTGGGAAACCTATATTGATAGACATGTTTTCATGTGTTAATATCTCATGTATTACAACACCCTTTGACTTACAGAAGTCCAAAGCACAAGTATATGAATGGTGTAGTAAATTAAATGTTCTCATTTTAATAATTTCCATCACTGTTCTGCAGTCATTCCTGCTCTTACGTTGTTTAAACCAAAAATCAAAAACTTCAAGTGCTCTATGTCTCAGTTACCTGGCCTCAATGTGGTGGAATCTTCCTAATTTGGCCTTTGTAATATAGTGTGTACCTCAGTGACAAAGGAGACATAATAGTCCTGTTTTAGTTCTGATCTCTTCAGAGTTGTTTTTATATAATGT